TAATATATAAAAATTACATAAAAAAATATAAAAAAATTATTCCTATAACACCACCTCTAGTTAAATATACTACGTGACTACATAATTTCATTTAACGGAAAACCATTTAACGGAAAACCATGTAACGTAGAATTTTGATAGTCCATCTTCTTTCTCGTGCACTTCTATTTCATCTTTTTTGCTCGGTAAAAACCTATTAAGTTATTTATCTTAATAAATTTATAAATTTTAGTTATTTACTTTATATTATAATATTTTTAGTCATTTATCTTAATAAATTTATAAATTTTAACATTTCATTTTATATTATAACACTTTTAATCTCTTATTTATATAAGTCGAAGAAAATAATCTTTATTTAAAGTCAGATTATAACATTTTATTAGTTCTATTAGTTGATTATTAATTTTATTAATTGATTGTTAATTTTGTTAACTGATTGTTAGTATCTGTTAACATTCTATTATAGAAAATATAAAATTTAAATTCAATTTTGTTTGGTAATTTTGTTAATGAAAAGTTAACGAAATGTTAACAATCAATAAATAAAATTAACAATCAGTTAGAACTAATAAAATGTTATAATTTGATTTTAAATAAAAGTTATTTTTTTAACTCACATAAATAAGAGATTAAAAGTGTTATAATGTAAAATAAAAAATTAAAATTTATCAATTTATTAAGAAAAATGAGTAAAAATATTATTGTATAAGATGATATAATAAAACTCACAAATTTATTATGATAGAAGGTAAAAAGTAAGTTTAATCCTCTTTCTCTCCCAATTCGTTCCTATCCTCCTAAATCTTTTCTTTGCCAACGATGATGGTCATAGCCGCTGTAAGATCTGGATTTTGTCCTTCAAATTTGGGAACACTAGGAATAGAGAAATCTTGGGATTTTTGAAAGTTAGGTAAATATAACAATAAACAATGTATTCATTTTTCAGATCTTGGCCAAAAGATTCACAAGATAAAGCTGTTTTGTGATGGGTTTAATTAGGAGGAAAAACTGTGCTTAGATTTATCTAAACCAGATCGATTCAAAGCTCCAATTGAAGGAAAGATAAAGAAGCCAAACGAGAAAGTAGGGCCTACATTGCTTTGTTTTAGAATCCCAAAATATCTCCTTTAACTTTTAACAGTTGCAGCAAAGGTAATGGCCGAAGAAAAGAAGAAAGGGGACTTTGA